GATGGATATATCGACTTCACATTCTCAATTGTTATAATCATAGCTGCACAAACAGTCTCTTTAACAGTAGTGTTCAATCTTTGTCTAGTTGTCAAATTGCTATAATCACCCATGCGTAGAGTATCCTGATGTAGATGTCTTTCTTAGCTGAGAGTTGGAGAATGGATCTTGGTGTTCTGACTACTTTATATCTCCTGATGAACTTGGCTGGATAATTGTTATTATCAACCAGACAGAGTTTGTGTCAACTTTCTTTCTGCCTCACCAAGTGTGTCTTCCTCCAGTGCATATTCGTTGAATAGGCACCTTACTCACTAAGGCTCTTTTGTAAAGAAGAAATACATTACACAATTCAGAAAAATTACGTCTTCTTATTACTTTGTCTAAATTCATAAAGGGAACTGATTGTTTTAAAAAGCTACTTGTTTTAAAATTTCTTTTAAGTTCTCCATGGATTGTTTATAGTGGACCAAAATTCTCTGTGTCTCCTGGTATATCGTCTCCTAGTTCAAACGTTTCATCAGTGATGCTTCAAGATAAGCATAGCGTTACTTGATTCGGTTGGCAGTTAGCATTTCAATATAAGACGCATGTTAGTCGTATTCGGGACTCATCATCCGGATTCACGTGCATCCCCATTAATGATGAGAAGCAGCATCGCTCACCAGGGATGTAGGTACATCCAGTTGGAGAGTCTTAAAGAGGATGAAACATGCAACCTTTATTCTATTTCTAACCACTGCCAAACGATTTTTACTAAGTGTTTAAAGATATCACATTCACAGAAGAAGAGGAATTAGACAACAAAACGCTTTCTTCGATGTCTTATTTAGTAGAACAAACACAGGTATACAAGAAATCAACCTGTGTAGACCTAATGTGGTGAGAGCAGGCTGCTAGCCAATTGGTAGACATTAATCGATGCTGATTGGTAGACATTATTCTAGGCTGATTCAACAACCAATCACAGCAGACTTAAACGTGGGCGAATGTGATTCGCAGATAAATGGCTCTACTTTCCGAGAAATATCGAAAACAACCAATCATAAGACTGTGTCTGTCTGCTTAACTTCCGAGAAACAACCAGTTAGAAGACTGCCTTTTTCTGCTTGCATAAGCCTTATTAATGTACATAAAATATATACAAATACGCGTTGATTTTCGTAATAAAACGATCTGTTGCCTGGCCCTTGTCTTCTGTTGTTACACTAATACTGAACTACAGTAGTAATGATCTAACAGCATACGAAAGAAACTGTGTGTAAACATTATTCAAAAAAGAGTTTAAATACCCTGCACACTGTACTCAAGTACTGAGGGGAATTAAGGGGAGAGGGGTAATCTTAGAATTTTATGAAGAAATGTCAAAGCTTGAATCAAAAGCAAAACACCATCCTCAGAAACCTCAAGAAAATTCATTCTACAATATATGTGAAGAATATTTCTAAAATAACGTCTAAAATGATATAACCGTTGGGCGTGGCGGCGTAAGCCTGTAATCTAGCTACTTGGAGGCCAAGGTACGGAATTTTGGGGGACCGAGAGTTCTGGCCTATGGGTGCTCATGTTGATCCGGCGTCTATGCTAAGCACGGCGTCGATATGAATGACCTGTCAGAGGACGGGTTGTCCAGGTAGACTAAGGAGGGGCACACTGGCACAGTGGTTAGGACTCTCGCCGACCATGAATATAGTCCGGAATTCGATCCCCGGCGGCCGACGCACACCTGATATCGATTGTTCGGCCTGCTAAACTTGGGCTACCCATATTACACGCTGAAAATCCCATACTTGTACCAATAATATGGTGTGGAATCAAGCTGTAATCAAAAATACATAAAAAATAAATAGATATAGGACACAAACCAACACTATTACTTCAATATAGCAAAATATTCATTCAGACATCCATGAAACACAAAATAATCGAGCAAAGAATATTCTTTTCGATAAATTCCTCTTCCGGCTCTACAATTATATATATATATATATATATATATATATATATATATATATATATATATATGTTTAGATACACAGAATACTCTAGATTAGTAGTTAATAACAATATTAGTGTTTTTTAAATACTATCGATTTGTAAAGTATGATCAATGGAATTACAGTGCATCAAAGATGCTTGAGTTATGATAATAATAATAATAATAAAGATATAATAGCAACTAGAATATCAACTAAAATTAGGGAAATTCCACAAAACTTCGGGATCATTCAAACCTAGATGGCTAAAGCAAAGATTATGTCTGAACTAGCTTCTTTTGGATGCATAAATTAGGCTTCTTAATATGGATCCCAAAAGGCCAGCCTCAGCAATATTTAGTAATCGAACTCTTAAAGAAAAGTTAAGATTTGTTGGTATGCGATAAGTGACTTTGAAAGCAGCCTCGTTAATATCGATCTTGTGTTCTGTCTCCGCAGGATGAGATAGAATAGCGCTGTGAATAGATTTTGTTCGTCCTTTACTTAACCACTATGCAGGGTGATGTTTGGAAATTCGTCGAGAAACATGTCTAATTTTACGGCCTCCATAACTAACTGGCTCATTGAACAGGAGCAGTTTAATTGGTAGATACACATGGAAGAGGGAAAACTAGGCAGTTTTTCTTTTACTCCTGAACTCAGAAGATTATCTATCACTATCATTTACTATCGCTTTATTCAATACTGCACGGAACAGTAAAATAAGGTAAGATCAATACCATCTACAAGATAAAATGCATGGACTATGATAAACACCCTACTGGCCAAAGTAGGGATCAGCTTCGAGTCCGGTATCAAGACTTTAAACTAGGTGTCAAAAGACGCAACATATATTCTTACATATTGGATGCATGGAGACAGCTATCGACAATAATCGGACTAAGAAAATATAGATATTTTAAACAATGAACACACCAAAAATGCTAGGGAATTCCCAGAAGTTTAGCAGTCAGATGAATAAGCGATCAAGTATTTTCAAGGCGAAATATAACTACTTTCGCCACAACATGTGATCAGCTGGACAGTATCTTTTCCAGTATTTGATTTGTATAGTTTATATTAATGATGAATTCAAGTGGTTCTCATCTTGGTGAAGATAATGCATGGTGAAGTCTGCAACGAGTCCAATTTCTCTCATTTACTAACTCTAACACCAACAAGTAAGCCTTTCATCTAGAAGTGCTTTCTTCATACCTTTCATGAACTTTGTTAAGTATGCCAATGATCTAACTATTTCAACGTCTGTTAACTCCCAGCTTAACTGTACTAATATGAACAGCTTTCTATCAGGAATTAACAAATGGTCTTCATCTAACAGCCTTAAACTAAATCCTTCCAATTATCAGACTGTTAATTTCAGTTTCCGATGTAAACGAAAGTTAAGTGAAGCCATTGGATCCTATGACCCTTGCAAAATTGATGATACTGATAGAGAAATCAAGTTTGAAGTTAAGTATCTTGGATTAATTCTTTCTTCTGACCTACCTATCCTGGTCTTCCCATGTCTTGGCGATTTCTAAAAGAATATTTCGTCTTTTTACGTTGAGAAGCTAAAGAACTCAGGCATAACCCAACCACTTCTCTTACAGTTTGTCAACTCGTGCATCTTACCTATTCTTCTTTACTGTTCACCCTCGCTTATTCTTTCCTGGATTGCTTAAAAAAGTCTATGTCATACTTCGTAGAACTCGAAAGACTGTCAGTAGGACGAGTGGTCTGCCTTTGGGCCATATCGGTGACATTGTCACTGATAGGCACTAGATGTCATGCAATAAATTTGCTAAAGAAATTTTGTCAGACTCTAAGCGCCCACTCTACTCGCAGCTCCAACCTTGTGTCTCCTCAAGTAAAACAACAAGTCATCTCGAAAGATTTTATGCACGTACGTCTAAGTATAAAAATTCCACTATACCATATTTGGCACGTACTTTATGTGATGAAAATAGTGTTAGCCTTGAAGTGCGTCGGTGGCACAGTGGTTAGGACTCTTGCCGGCCATGCACATGGTCTGGGGTTCGAGCCCACGCCGATGCACACTTGATACCCATGGTCGGCCTGCGGATTTTGGGCTACCGATGTCCACGCTGAAAATTCCATACTTGTACCAAAAATACGGTGTGGAATGAAGTGTAATCAAAAATAAATAAAATAAAAAATAAATAAGTAACTAACCTTCTTTGCACTACTAAATAAACGATTTTCTCCACCCTTACAACATCAGCTTTTATTGTTATTGCATTTATTATATTTATAATCCTCTCAATTTTTTGTTTTTATTTATTTATTTATTTTTCATGAGTGTGAATATCATTTAAATAATTAATTTTCCCTTCACGTTCCCCAGTGGAACATAGGGCTTCAAGCTAATAGCTTGAAGTTTCTGTAGTAGAGTTTATTTTACAGGATGGGGTTGCTAGCCTCATGCCCAACCTTTCCTCTTTACCAGAATTACTTCTGGCTTAGAGAGGTAAGGGTATGCGTCGGCCGGGGATCGAACCCCGGACCATGTGCATGGTCGGCGAGCGTCCTAACCGCTATACCACCGACGCACGAATGTCATTTAAGCTGTATTAGAACTGTTAATTTTGTATTTCCCCTCACCATGCTGCTATATCAACAGAACATTAAATCCAATAATCTATAACATGCTAAAATTTCCAAACTGAATCTACAATACTGTTTGAAACAAACTCACTGTTTCTATTATTGCTATTACCTTTATTATAATTAATAATCTCAATTCGTGCTTCGAATATTTTTGACTATATACCGTAAACGTGGACAAATTCCTCTGGTTAATTTTGTTTTGATTTTTTAATTTTATTTATATTTTGAAGTAAATCAGATGCAAGGTGTTGTGACAAATGCTGAGAATTCCATCTTTCATTCCATTATAAGTATTGTCTGTTTTGGAATAAAGTAAATTATTATTATTATTATTCTGCTTGCTTTTCCTCCTACCTCCCCCGCCACCACCACCACTCAAAATGTTTCACCTCTTAGTTAGCTTTCAATCATGCTGAAGTGACAGATCTTCGGGGAATGAAATTTAACAATGGTATTATATATACAGTGAAACAAGTTAATTTACCTCCACAAGGTGATATTCTCAGGATAGTTAAACAAAAGCCGGAAGCTCAGTAAGTTTGGAAATTCGATTATTTATTGTGTATTCAATAACTTCTAGTTAAATGCAACTGTTTTCTTTTTAACCTCTATAAATTTGATTTGTAATAAACTGTTAGAATGTTTGTAGTGCTATTATTATTGTTGTTATTATTTATCGATTGATTAGCTAATCTTTTTGCAAACAGATTTAAGCGGGATGTCAGACAGTTTTAATCGATCAGTCAAACACAATCGAGCCCCCAAAAATATAAATTACTTTTGGGGTACTTACTTTTGGTATTACGGAAGAATACACAACATTCAAGTTGACCAGGTCGTTTTTCAGAATCCACGACACGTGCCGACAGCAGTTTGTCGACGTTTTTTCAAAGTATTTTTTAAAGTATGTTAGATGCCGTATCTAAATATCGTCGTGCATTACGATCGTTCGACAGCGTCGACCTAAGAGGTGATTTGGCAACTACTTCACTACTACGGGGTGATGCCGATAATTATACATTTCATCCAACAGTTGTACGACGACGCTGCATGCCCAGTAATCCACAATGGGAATCTCATGGAACCCTTCGAAGTGAGGACGGGAGTAAGGCAAGGCTGGCTGGCTGTCTACTACTGCCAATGACTTTCCTGATTGCAGTAGATTGGATAATGTGACAAACATTGGCCGGCAGCGAGGAAACAGGCATAAAATGGACCCTCACAACAAGAAACTTGGAGAATCTGGACTTCGCCGATGATATATGTCTGATTTCCCACAAACTGGAAGATATGCAAGTGAAAAGCAACAAGTAGACAGAACAAGCATCCAGAAAAGATAGGACTTCAGGTGAACATGGAGAAAACAAAAAGGCAGTGATGAAAATTCCTGGCCAATAGCAGCTGAAAAAACAACAGACAACAATCAGCCAGCATAAATGGAAGGAACCTGAAGGAAACAACCTCCTTCACCTACCTGGGAAGCGTCGTTTCAACTACAGGCAAACGGAACTGATGAGGATATCAAAGCCTGTATCGGGAAAGCAAGACAAACTTTCATCACTCTCAAGTCTGTATGGGGGTCAAAATCACTCACCATCAAAAATAAGATCCGGATTTTCAACTCCAATGTGAAGTCAGTCAGTGCTACCTACTGTACGGATCAGAGACTTGGCCAGTGCGTCATAAGGAGCATCTGAAACAAACTACACACATTCATCAACAGCTAGCTGTCTTTGCTGAATACTACTCAAGATCATATTGCCAGAAAAGATCAGCATCAGGGAGGGATCTCTGGGAGCGAACCAACCAGGAACCGATTGTGCAACAAATGGGCAGGAAGAAATGGAGATGGATTGGCCACACTCTGAGACAAAAAACCACCAAGTGACATCACCAGAGAAGCCATCGCTCGAGTGGAACCCGAAAGGGAAGCGGCGAGTTGGTCATCAATGCGAGGTTGACTTGGAGGAGGTCATGTGAAAAGAAGGTGAGAGCGTGTGGGCAGACGTGAAGCCAGATGAAAACGTTGGCAGAGAACCGAACGTAATGGAGACGTTGGGCTGAAGCCCCATGTTTCTCTAGGAATTAAAGGAAATAATAGTAATAATTTTGGTACTAAGATATTTCCTTTGGTATGGTGTTGTAACTTGACTTGTTACAAGTGGACTCATTGACCTTCGAGGTGGTTAAGAACTCGCTGTAAATTTAGATTTCGCTTAAGCTTTATTATCTTTTCCTTTTGCCTGGTTGACACCAATCATCTGTTTGACCGATTGTGCAGCACTTATGGTGTTTTTATAGACAGGAGTTTACAAAAGTGGTGTTTCCTTTCTTCCATCAATTAATAAGAAGTTGTGAGTGAACTGACCGAGCAGTTTAAGGAGCTGGCTTACGGCTCCACTCTGAAAGGACATGGGTTCGAATCCCAAGTGAGTCTCCGATTCAGAGGTAGAATTCTCGCCAACCACACCTCAAGTGGTCCGGGCTTCGATTACCCAACCGACTCATTCCTTTAACCTTGCTTCGCTGGTAGTAATCCCTGAAAAGAGAGGATGTCGGGCATTTGACTAGGAACCGCACTCCTTAGAAGGGAGAACATGATTGCTACCGAAACTTGAAAAACCTCAAGCTCGAGGTCCTATTCTAGCGTTGGTGACACAGTGGTAGAAAGCTCGCCAACCACACCCCCACGTGGTTCTGGGTTCGGTACTCGGCTACCGACGCACTTTTAAATCTCTCTAAGCCAGTAATAAGACTGGTAAAGCAGGAAGGTCGGGCATGAGGCTAGCAAACCCATCCCGTAAAAGTAATCAACACAATTGCTACCGAAACTTCAAGCCTCTAGATTGAAGCTGCCCTATGTTCCACTGGGAACGTAAATGAATAATAACAGTGGAACATAGAACTTCATCGGTAAATCACTAGTTCACTCTGTTCTCTGCAGTATTTTCTAACTCGTTCCACGACTCCTGATAGGCTTTTATCACCTCTTAACATGATCCTCTCAGTTTCACTCTTCAACTCCCAACTAGGCCATTCGGTTTCCACTCGTGTGTCTGGTATGTGGTGTCAATTAACAGTCTCCTCTGCAAACGTTTATTCTGTCTCCCTGGATATTTGTTAAGGAATAGGTTCCTGAATGGTGTTCTGCCTGAGGGAGAGTTCCTTGTTGCATAGCCTTTTTTGGTTGACCTTCTGATCTTCAGTATGAAATCTGAGAGGGCATCTGATGATAAAAGTTTTCGGTAGCCTGTTAGAAATGCTCTTGCTGACGAGTGCACCAAGTCTCTGAACTATACAAAGATACCGTCTTGACCTAACCATCAGAAAGGTCTGGTCTTGTTCACTTTACATCACCATACCGATCCCAGAGTGATAGGCGCCTGTCTTACTTTTCTCAATCTGACGTTGACATCTTCATCCATGTCGCTTATATCATTGAAACTATGCTATCCAGCTAGATGAGTATGAGAAGCGAATTCCTTCAAATTTCACTTGTTGATCGTGATTGGTATTTATTGTTTTTGGTTGGTATGTGTATATAGAAAACCTACATCAACGGGCCAGTACACACATTTTCTCAGTTTTGTGCCCTTGAAATACAAACGCAATTTGATAAAGTGCCTGGTTCACAGAGCAAGAGCGATTTGCTCGGACGAATGTCTTGATGAAGAACTGAATAATATTAAACGGTTGCTAAGTGAGAATGGTTATCCTGAAAAGTTTATTGATAAGAATATGAATTTGAAACCAAAGCAGCCGAAGTTACCAACAGTTCCAAAAAAGGCCTTATTCTTTCAGATGCAGTTCCTTGGGGACAACACTAGCGAGATACTAACACAGCGTATTAGAAACGCGGTAAAACGAGCATTCCCTGCTGCTGAATTACGTTGTATCTTTAAGACTACTTCTCTTCTGCGTTCGGGAGTAAAAGACAAACTGCCTAATTTCGCCTCATCCATGTGTATCTACCAATTTAATTGCTCCTGTGGAGCCAGTTACATAGGCCGCACAATTAGGCGTGTTTCTCGTCGAATTTCCGAAAATCACCCTGCGTGGTTAAGCAAAGGCTAAACAAAATCTATCCGTAGCGCTATTTTGGCTCATCTGGTGGATACAGAACATAGGATTGATGTTAATCAAGCTTTCAGAGTTATTTATCGGATACCAACAAATCTCAACTTCGCCTTAAGAGTTCGATTACTAAATATTGCTGAGGCTGTTGGGATCCACATTAAAAAGCCTAATTTGTGCGTCCAAAAGAAGTTAGTTCAGACGCTGTCCCTACCTTGGCCATCTAGGTTTGAATGATTCTCAATTTTCGTGAAAATTTCCTAATTTTAGTTGATATTCTATTCGCTATTATATCTGTATTACTATTAAAAAATAAGTATTTTTAGTGAACTGTAATTGCATTGATCTTGCTTTACAAATCGATATTATTTAAAAAACACTAATATTGTTATTAACTACCAACCTTGAATATTCTATGTATATAAACATGTATATAATTGTAGAGCCGGAAGAGGAATTTATCGAAATGAATATTCTTTGCTCGATTATGTTGTGTTTTATTTCAATTACCTCACTAGTGAATCTGTCGCTAACTAAATTATATGTGTAGGTTTCTCCTAAAATAGCAAGAACGATAGTTTGAAAATAAATTTTGATTAATTAAATGAAGTGTTTTAATCAGACGTAAAATAAATCTAAAACATACAGGATTTTTCCAAAATATTATACTATATTATCCATAAATATAATCAGTAGAATATATTAAACCTCAATTTGGGAGATTTCTAGGTTGAAAACCATCAAATGCACTGTCATTGTACGTTAATAAGAAAACAAAAACGCGTAGTTTCAGTGAAGAGTCTCTTTTCGGTGGTGAATTTATTCACATCTAGCTGTACAATCGCAATTATATATATACTCATTTTTGTATGCTGTGGGTACATTAGGTTTGCCCGATAAGAATAAAAATTGTTTGGGATAATTGTTGTGAAGACATTTCAAAAATATCCCCTGTCTGCAGAAGCCTGAAGGACAAGATCTTGCTTCATTATGGATAAGATTTTATTTTGATAAGTCACACAGTGTTATAGAGTAATATTAAATGATGACGTTTCGAGCACAAATGATTGCCACTCATAATCATATCAAGTCACTCACACAACATTTCAACCAATATCCCTTATCGTAGCGGATATATTTATGGACAGCTGGGAAAATATTGCTCTGAATACATTTAATCCTACTCCAAAAATATGCTGGATATATGTGGAGAACTAACATTTTCACTCACAGTGTTGAAAACAGAACATCTCTCTCTCTCTCTTTCTCTCTCTAGCTTCTTCACACAGATAAACTCACAAGTGAAGGGAATAAAATTAACATTTGAATCGGAAAATGAACAAGGAGAATTAGCCATGATGTAAGATTGTAAAATAAAACGGACGGGAAGAACGTAAACTGCACACTACCGTTTATAAAACACCAACGCATTCTAACAGATATTTACACTTTAATTCAT